CTCTTCGATCTTATCGGAGAAAGATCAAGCCAAAAGAGCTTCTCTCACTCTTTCTCTCCTGAGAGGAAAATGAGAAAGCGGAAAATCTTTTATACAGTCGTCTATAGGGCTCCCCATTTACTAGCAGAACGCTTTGTTTAAACGACGTTAATTTAACGGAGTCACGTGGTGTTAGTTGCTTTCTAGTGTTATACTGCTCTAGCGAAATTCTTATGGTCTCGGAGTTTTTGATTGAGACCGTGTGATGTTAAGTTATGATCTTTCGTTAATGACTACTCGATTGGTCAATGGTCATTGCAGTCACAAGGTAACAGAGGTTTTATCCATTTAGGGGCGCCTTCAAAATTAAATAAATTAAAAAAGTAAAAAATAATAATACACACGCACAAAAATTATTATTTTATTGTTTTGTTACTGTTGGTTTTAATCGATGTATATACTTTTGTTTTTATCGTGTTCGATCCAGCTGTTGTTTAGTTTTTTAATAGAACTAGTGTATTACCCGCGCCTTGCGCTGGATTTTATTTTTAGATAATGATCTTTAAAAAAAATAAAGGATAGTGTTCACCTGAAAATTATCTTATTAAAACTATATGTGAAGGAAACAATCATATTCAAAACTCAATATTAATAGAAGATAGAAAYCCAAAGTAAAAAATCTTATAGAAACTACATGTCAAAGAAACTAAGAATATTTCAAACCATGACATTTTAAGATACGGCGAGGCAAGCGCGGGATAGTATTCAAGTGACATATCAATTCAATTATTCAAATGACAGAAGTTCACTGCTTAACATATTGTTAATCGAGTTTAAAACTATATATTTGTTAGYGTAATGAATTATAATAATCTATATATCAGAAAAAAATAAATTAGAGATAATAACATTCTGATTCTTGTGTTCGTCTCCCTTTTRRCCCTCGAATATTCTCTTCCTATCTTTCTTATTTTTTATGAGTATTTATAAAAGAACTACACACTCGGCCAATACTTTTTGTCTAGTCACATCGTCCATATCTTCTCTAGAGTGGTTGGTGTTTACTTTGACGGCATATGATTATAAAGCTAGCCTAGTCTGTCAGGGACACTCCGAGAAAAAACATACTCTATTGTTCTCACAGTTGAAAATTTAAACAAATTTGGCACAAAGATTAATATTATGATATATGATTTGAAGTATAATTTAAAATTTTGCATAATAGAGGTTGATAATACAGAATTTTATTTTATAAAATATAAAAAAAAACTAACTACATATAAATTATTTAATTACTATTTTATACTACTGTGTATTTGATTTGTTTTAATAAAAACCTAAGGCACTTAGAAAAAGACATGCTTCCCATGTTAAAAGACTTTTAATAAAAAGTTCTAAGAATCTCTCGTTTGAAAATCCATTCTCATCGCTTTTCTTTAAAACAATATTTTTATCTTTTGTTATTTTTTATTTGTTGAGACTTAGTGATYTGAGATAGCTCAATCAGAATCATAAAACGCAAAAGTCAAAGTTTTGTTACTCAAACTCAACATAATGACACTTTTATGACGTAAGAGTAAGATTATATGATTTCGTCCGTGGGAAATCATCCGTGGAAGCCATGGGGCCATAAGAAAGACCTCACCGCCAGGAGTAGAAGGTGAAACTCGATGTTGGGGTTATGGCTGAAGGTTTGGCTTCCAAGTTTTCTTCTGGGAATTTCCAACAAAGCTTTCTTTGAAGTTTGTTCAGTCTTATGAGAGATTTGTTGCAAGAAAACTTAATAAGAATTGTTCTAACTTCTTCATGTGGTTCTTAAAAAAGATAATTTGTTATCAGAGTTTTCATCTATATTTCATATGGGCTTTAGACCGATCACCCATAAACATCCAAACTTTACAAATGCTATTTCAACACATTACAGTTTATTGCACAAACATTATTTAACAATATTAAAAGACAACTACTTACCAAGAAAAATGAAACCTAACAGTTATGTATTATTACATTGTACGTACAATTTGATTTTTTATGTTTTCTAAAAGAGAAATTTTCAAGAGTCTTAACTTTGGATTAATTGATTAACACGAAGACTATAAAATACAAACCCGAATCCACAAAAGTCACAAACTTTGACCTTTTAAAATAGTAAATGAAGAATAAAAGACTTCATAAAAGCTTTCACACTTCTCTCTGAACAATCGAGAAGAAAATTT